ATCATCCTAAAAAACAAGAACATGACAAAGATGCCCACTCTAACCACTCTCATTTAATATAGTGTTGAAAGTACTAGCCAGAGCAGTCAGGCAAGAAAAAGAAATAAGGGGCATCCAGATTGGAAAAGATGAAGTCAAACTGTCCCTATTTACAGATGACATGATCCTATATACAGAAAAACCTAAAGACTACAAAAAAAACTCGCAGAGCTGATAAACAATTTCAGTAAAGATGCAGGATACAAAATCAACACGCAAAAAACAGTAGTGTTTTTATATTCCAGTAACAAACTAACAGAAAAATAAATCTAGGAAACAAATCCATTTATGATAAGTTAGCAAAAAATGAAAATACCTAGGAATCAATTTAACCGAGGAGGTGAAAGATCTCTGCAACAAGAACTACAAATCACTGCTGTAAGAAATTAAAGAGGACACAAAAAGATGGAAAGACATTCTGTGTTCTTGGATTGAAAGAAATAGGATTCTGAAAATGTTCATATTACTCAAAGATATCCACAGATTCAATGCAATCCCCACCAAATTTCCAATGACAGAAATAGAAAAAACAATCCTAACTCATATGGAACAATAAAAGGCCCTGAACAGCCAAAGCAATCCTGAGGAAAAAAAAAAAAAATAAAGCCAGAGGCATTACACTAACCCACATACTTACAGCCAACTGATCTGTGACAAGGGCACCAAAAACATACATGGGCGAAAAGACTGCCTCTCCAATAAATGGTGCTGGCAAACCTGGACATCCATATGTAGAATGAACTAGACCCATACCTCTAACCACATACCAAAATCAACTCAAAATGGAATAAAGACTTAAATATAAGACCTGAAAATATAAAACTCCTGAAAGAAAACATAGGGTAAACACTTCAGGAAGTAGGACTGGGCCAAGACTTTATGAATAAGACCCCCAAAGCACAGGCAACAAAAGAAAAAATAACAGGGATTACATCAAACTAAAAACTTCTGCACATCGGGGCCGGCCTGGTGGTGCACTGCTACAGTGCACCGCTTGGGAAGCACAGCGGCGCTCCCGCCGAGGGTTCGGATCTCACATACAGACCAGCCGCTCACTGGCTGAGCGAGGAGCGGGGGCAACACCGAGGGTTGCGATCCCATGGCCGATCCCGTGGCCGGTCCCGGTCCGGTACGGGCACGACACTGAGGGTTGCGATCAGTTGCCAGTCACGAAAAAAGACAAAAAGACAAAAAAAAAAAAAAACTTCTGCACATCAAAAGAAACAACAGAGCAAAAAGACTACCTATAAAGTGGAAGGAAATATTTGCAAACTATATGTCTGACAAGGGATTAATATCCAGTATATACAAGGAACTCAAACAACATTAAAAAAACAAGTAATTGGATCAAAAAATGGACAAAGGAGCTGCATAAGCATTTCTCAAAGGAAAATATACAAATGGTCAACATGCATATGAAAAAATGCTCAGTTAGACCTGCTGTTATAAAAAAGACAGAAAATAACATGCTGGCAAGAATGTGGAGAAAGGAGAACCCTGCTACACTGCTGGTGGGACTGTAAATTATTGCAGTCATTATGGAAAACAGTATGGAGGTTCTCAAACAACTACAGATAGAACTGCCATAGAATCTACCAATCCCACTATTTGGTATATTCCCAAAGGAATGTAAATCATCATGTCAAAGGGATACTTGCACTCCCGTGTTTATCATAAGAGTTGGAAGAGTTCAAACCAGCCTAAATGTCCATTGACCGAGGACTGGATAAGGAAAATGTGGTATACATACACAAAGGAATACTACTCTGCCATAAAAAAGAATGAAATTCTGCCATTCACAGCAACATGGATAAACTTAGAGAATATCATGTTAAGTGAAATAAGCCAGGCACAGAAAGAGAAATACTGCACATCTTCACTTATAAGTGGGAGCTAAAAAACAAACAAACAAACAAACAAAAAACAAATAAATAAATAAAAAGAGAAAGAAAGAAGGAAAGCATGAGCAATCACAATAATTCATTGAACTTTGAAAAGGAGAGACCAGAACTGTGGTTACTGGAGGTGGGAAAGGGGGAGGGAAGGAGGGTAGCAAGAAATTGGTAAAGGGTCCCAAAGAATGATTACATTTTGTAATGATGCATATACTAATTATCCTGATTTGATCATCACATATTGTGAGTAGATATTGATATTCAACCCTGTACCCCACAATTGTGTATAATCATTATGTTTCAATAAAACAATTAGAAATGAGTATTAATTTTATCACGTATTTTTCATAGATCTACTGAAATATATATAAAATTTTTCTCCTTTAAAAACTTATCTTAAACTTTAAAAAATGAATAAAAGAAGTAGATACAAACAGGATAAAGTGGATCCACAAAGCCAAAAGTTTGTTCTTTGAAAAGACTTATTAAACAAACTGATCTAGAAAAGTTAAAGAAAAAAAATTCTTAAAGAATAATAAATATATACAGACCAAGTTTTGTTTATTGCATGAATGGAGAGTTGGTATATCATTTTAAAATCAAAGTAATTCACCATGTTAACAGAATAAAGGAGAAAAGGCATAAAGTGATTGTAATAATTGAAGAAAATTTTTGGTTAGAAATTTACCATTTATATTGTTTCAAAATAAATCTTAGAAAATTATAGATAGTAACTTTCTTAACCTAGTAAAATATAGATACAAAAACTTATAGCACACTTTATACTTAATGGTGAGAATGTGAAAGCCTTTCCTCTGAAATCAGGAATAAAACAGGGTGGCTGTTAACATCACTTCTATGCAACACTGTTCCTGGAGATCTTTGTAAAAAGGCAATAAAATAAAAATAAATAAAAGACACAAGGAATGGAAAGGAAGAAGTAAAACTGTCATATTCACAGGTGACGCAACTGTTCACGTGAAATAATTAGAATTAATGAGGACATTTAAGTTCTCTAGATACAAGGTCAATATACAAAAGTCAATTGTTCCTCCGTATATCAGTAACATTTAAATAATAAAATTTTTAAATATATAAAATTTTTCATGGTAGTAAAATATATTAAATGCTTAGCAATAAGTTGATATAAAAACTTCTACATATCCATATATATATAT